TTAAGGGTGTTGCTCAGAGACCCAGAGTGGCAGTCTGTGGGAGTGGGACTTGAACTCAGAACCTCAGGATTCCAAGCTCTATGCCCTAACCACTAGGCTACCCACTCCCCAAGTAGGCAAGAGGGGACATCTATCTTCTGAATTTATTCCGTCTTAACATCGATAGGACTACATTGCCCTTTTTTAAAGTATAATGTTTTCATTGACTCAGTGTTATCTTTTTCTTTAGTGTCTTGGCTTGGTCATTGATCACTACAGGACAAACCCCCCCCTAAAGAAAATCACCAAATGGGTTGGGAGACTAATTGGGTAGCCTCCACTCTCCTTGACTTCTTTTTATGAGACACAGTTACAACATAAAGCCGACTGTATGCCCTTTGAATGGCGAGTTCCAGCTCCTTCACTCTGGCCGTTGTTTTTAAGCCCCTAAAGGAAGGTCAACATGGTACAGGAAGGGTTTCTGTCAACAGCGATTGTAATGCTAAATAATCTTGTTCATACTGATCAATGGACGTGAAGCACTTTTTACTGACCACAATTATTTAAGTATTTTATATTTCAAAATGTGTGTTTTGTTGTTATCTTGTTTGTCTCGATGTAACTCACATTAATTGTCTTACTGTCTTTATTCATGTCTGTACAACAACTTTACCAGCACTACAGGACTGTAAAAATAAACAAACTTTGAACCTCATAGAATAATATGAATCCTTTAACTTTTCACGTCCCAAACACTAACATGAAATATTACAAGATGTCATTTGGAGTCAGTGAAATCTGTTGTAAACTCAATTGATATTACATCAACCACATATTAAAATTAAATAAATTGTATTTTAAAACAGGCATGATATTATATAATACGTTTTACCTTTAGTTTAATTCTCTCTGCTGTCTCTTTTAGGATTATAAACTCTGAGTGTTAAGTTGTAAGTAGCAGACTGTGCATGTATGAGATGTAAGGAATGGGAGGCGGGGCTAGATCTGTGTTTCCTTCTTCTTGGTGTGGAGTGATGAGCGCGGGAGCGCATGTTGGAAAACTGTTAATGGCGACCATTAAAGTGTGGATATTAACGTCAACAGTGTGATTATTGAGCCAACACTGAGGCCTTGTATCAAACAACAAACAAAAAGATTAAGTCATTCCAGTTGTAGTAGAGAAAAACTATTCCATGTTAAAATGACATACCCCTAAGATGTTTTGGATTTTCCTCCATTTCTAACATATTTGTCAAAAGGAATGCACTCAAAGCTTTTTAAGATGACACATTTGTTTTAATTTCTATAAAGGTCAGTGTAAATATGGCAGAATCTGAAGTATTTTGCATCCATCTTCATTAGTTCTTCCAAAGGATGGATCGTTTAAAATAATAACACTATATAAATATAAACTCCTGAAAGTTATAAACCGTAATCCCGAATAAATATGAAATAATATCTGGTCTGTTTCCTTTAATGAAGCATAAGCATCTTTGAGATTTAAGCATGTTTTGGTATTAAAAAAGACAAATATAACCTTTAGCAGCCAACCTTTTTTCCCCCACATGCTTTAGGACATTAGCCTTATCTAATTTATAAAAAATAATAAAAAAAAATAGAAAAGGATCACATAGAACTGAAAAAGATCATTGCTTAATGTCGGCTCTCACGACTGACGCCATGTGCAACAGTGTCGACGACGGTATTTAAAAAGATAATTTGAATCAAAAAAGGCAAACAGACTCATCAATGTGAAAAGAAGTTTTGAACAGAGCAGTAGTGATGTCATAGTGACATCACAGATGCTGTATTGATCTCATGCTACATTGACTGAAGTCATAGATGTGTTTAGCCTGAGGAACAAACGAGTATGTGGCTACAGAGAAAAAAAACTTTGAATGACAGTTGTTAGTGTCACTTTACATTAGAATGTAAACCAACTCTCTCCCATCCACCAAGTCAAGACAGAAAGAATATAAAGGATACTTGTGCTGTTCTTGCAGTCAATCCAAAGAAAACAATAGACTCCCACTGATGCAAAGAGGCTGGATGTCTTACCCAACAGTAAAACAGGACATTAATCCATAAATCCAAATTATTGTTTTACTATTGATAATCATTGTAGATTTAGGGCAGGAATTTTCTTTTTTTTTTTTTTATCTTGGCTGGTAACTATAAAAATGCCTTTTGTAAACCCAACTTTGGAGATAAAACACAGAAACTGCAGAATAAGTCACTTTTCATGGTTCGACGAAATCTTTCAACAAATGAAAGAATAGCCCAATTAAAACTTGGTAAACATATTATAACTGCCAAAACAAGGCGAGATGTTTTCCAGTGGACACGCAAATCTGGGTTAAGAAGCTGCTATAATATAATAGCTAATGTTGCTATGTCCCCTGCCCTGTGGTTTTTCCATGAATGAAGCGTGGGTGCATTGGGTCGTTGTGGTTTTAACCATGTCTGTGCAAAAAATAACACACTTGTTAAAGTGAGAATGAGGAAAATGGAGCTTGCACCATCAAATATAACAAAACACACGCACACTTTGCATCTGACAAACATCCCATCCCACACGAGCTGGCACACCACTGTGGGGACTGACACCTAAACGGAAACCGCTAACAGATGTGTTTGGATATAAAATGCAGAGGAAAATGAGAAGATGGAACACAGCGGTGCTAGAAATAACCAAAGTCACCAAAATAACTGAAACAGCCAAGCTACTTTAATTATTTAATGCGTGATTTTTTAAAAATTCTATTTAGGGAAACCTAATTTGTCTTTATTTTAAGACAAAAAACCTGAGTAAGAGACGGGGGCATGAAAATGTAAAACCCCCAAACACCGAAAACATCATGGAAAGTACAAAGTTGGCTCATAAAACGATTAAATCAAAAAGAATAAGGCCTAGGAAGAAATCTAACAGAAAAAACAAATTTTATGAAAAAAAAAAAAAAAAAAAAACCCAGAGAGAAAAAAAAAAAACTTATAAATTTCAACACATGTATAAAATTTTGTGAAAAAAAATACCTGGATTATGATTGCATTTTAACAAATCCAATGCATTTTTTCTCCCTTTTTTTTTTTTACTTTTTGGACTTTAACCTCATTGTAAGCATGACATTGCTTTAATTTGTGGGACACTGAGACATATATGGCAGTCCTGCAGTCCTATGGATAGTAGGAGCTTTTCTATGTGTAATGCAGCCAGCGTGACCAGACATTAATTAGTGAGCTTGAAGAGTCGGACACAAGAGTTATGACCCATAATATCGATTGAGAGCGATGTTGGACAGACCTAGAAAACCTCCAAAGGGAATCTAAGGAGCCTTCTTTCAGTCTAATCCACCCTTAAAGCTACAGTGTGTAATAATTAGCGACATCTAGCGGTCAGACTGCAGACTGCAGCAACATGAACATCTCCC